ATCTTTGCATGAAATGTTCCCTTGGTATCTCTAATTTTCTTGAAGAGATCACTAGTCTTTCCCATTCTGTTGTTTTCTTCTATTTCTTTGCATTGATTGCTGAGGAAGGCTTTCTGATCTCTCCTTGCTGTTCTTCGGAACTCTGCATTCAGATGGGAATATCTTTCCTTTTCTCCTTTGCTTTTTGCTTCTCTTCTTTTCACAGCTATTTGTAAGGCCTCCTCAGACAGCCATTTTGCTTTTTTGCATTTCTTTTCCATGGGGATGGTCTTGATCCCTGTCTCCTGTACAGTGTCATGAACCTCCATCCATAGTTCACCAGGCATTCTGTCTATCAGATCTAGTCCCTTAAATCTATTTCTCACTTACACTGTATAGTCATAAGGGATTTGATTTAGGTCATACCTGAATGGTCTAGCAGTTTTCCCTACTTTCTTCAATTTCAGTCTGAATTTGGCAATAAGGAGTTCATGATCTGAGCCACAGTCAGCTCCCGGTCTTGTTTTTGCTGACTATTTAGAGCTTCTCCATCTTTGGCTGCAAAGAATATAATCAGTCTGATTTCGATGTTGACCATCTGGTGATGTCCATGTGTAGAATCTTCTCTTGTGTTGTTGGAAGAGGGTGTTTGCTATGACCAGTACATTCTCTTGGCAAAACTCTATTAGCCTTTGCCCTCTTCATTCCGTACTCCAAGTCCAAACTTGCCTGTTACTCCAGGTGTTTCTTGAGTATTCCCCATGGTCCTGTTTCATGAAACAGTTTTATTCGTTCTTGACGTGCGCCTTCATGTAAATGTTTTCATTATCACCAGAGTCACTTTTAGAGACATTAACTCTATTTTCCAGGGCGTGTCATTTTCACATCTGTTAAAGTTGTCTGGGATACAGGACTTTGTAAATTCCAGGCTTGGTACTGACACTAGACATTTTTACCTGAAGCCACTTAGTATCTGAGTCAATTCCTAGGCAGGTTGATAAGAACTCCCCAAGGAGGAGAGAGGGGTCTGGAATTCTTGAGGAGGAGGAAAGGACAAACATCTTTTTTATCCCTCTATGTTCCTTGGTCTTAGTCACAGAAAATATTTTTTTTCTTTAAGCCCGGGACTGATAATTACACAACAAACAACTCCGTTTAAACTCTGTACTAAGGATTATATAACAACAATGTGTCCTGCTTGAGGAGAGTTTCTCCTTCTTGAAAACCTTCCAAGGAATCCTGTTATCTTAGAATGTATATTATGGGAGTGGGTCTGGTAAGATCTTTCTATTGTTAGTTCTAATCCTGTCATCTTAAAATGTAAATTGTGAGAGTGGGTCTAGTAAGAGCTCTACGACCTTGAGACATTCTTTTGATTTATTGTAATAACCAGTTAAAAAAGCAGAAACTCCCTTGCTTAGACTGGCGAGGGGGCACTCTCTGCCCCCTTCTGGTGTCCGTGTCAGAAGTTTTCTCTGTCCCTTTTGCACTTTAATAAAGCTCTGCTACACAAGAGTTCTTGATCAAGCCTGGTCCTGAAGCTAAATCTTTGGAGATCACAAATCCAATATCATTCACCATAAGCTACCATGTCTATTTGCAGAACATCATAAAATGTATGTTTTGGGTTTCTTTTTCATTCACTCTAAGATTATATATATATATATATGATCACTAATAAGGAAAAAAAGAGTGAAAGAGGAGAGTGAAAAAGCCAGCTTGAAACTCAACATTCAAAAAACTAGTATCACGCTATCTGGTCCCGTTACTTCATGACAAGTGAGTGAAGTCGCTCAGTTATGACTGACTCTTTGAGACCAGGCCAGAATACTGGAGTGGGTAGCCTTTTCCTTCTCCAGGGGATTTTCCCAACCCAGGGGCTGAACCCAGGTCTCCTGCATCACAGGCAGATTCTTTACCAGCTGGGCCACCAGGGAAGCTCAGGAACACTGAAGTGGGTAGCCAATCCCTTCTCCAGCAGATCTTCCTGACCCAGGAATTGAACCGGAGTCTCCTGCATCGCAGGCAGATTCTTTACCAACTGAGTTATCAGGGGAGCCCATAACATGGCATGACTTCAGGACAAATGGAAGGGAAAACAGTGGAAGCAGAGAAAGATTTTCTTTTCTTGGGCTCCAAAGTCACGCAGACAGTGACTGTTTTAAAAGTTGCTTGCTCCTTGGAAAGAAAGCTATGACAAAGCTAGACAGCATATTAAAAAACAGAGATATCACTTTGCTGACAAAGGTCCATATAGTCAAAGCTGTGATTTTTCCAGTAGTGATGTATGGATGTGAGAGTTGGACTATAAAGAAAGCTGAGCACCAAAGAATTGATGCTTTTGAACTGTGGTGTCTGGAGAAGACTCTTGAGAGACCCTCGGACTGCAAGGCGATCCAACCAGTCAATCCTAAAGGAAATCAATCCTCAAGATTCTCTGGAAAGACTGATGCTGAAGCTCTAATACTTTGGCCAGCTGGTGTGAAGAGTCAGCTCATTGGAAAAGACCCTGATGCTGGGAAAGATTGAAGTGGGGAGAAGAAGGGAATGACAGAGGATGAGATGGTTGGCTGGCATCACCGACTCAATAGAGGACAGAGGAGCCTGGTGTGCTGTAGTCCATGAGGTCACAAAGAGCTGGACATGACTTCGTGACTGACCACTGCCAACAACAATATGTAACCACTTACTGGATTGCTTTTAAAATCACCTTTAAAGGCTTGGTTGCAATGACAGCCAATATTTGCAATTATGAGTGAATAATACCAGGCAGGAGACTGGATCCATGTGAAATTTCCTTTATTCTTTATTCATCAACTTCATTAGGTGACCTCTGTAAGCAGCAAAATCTCCTACTGACTGAGGCTATTTTGGGCCCAACACTCTTTTCTGGTTCAAAGTAAAGTAACTGAGAACATGTCTAATAGTTTGAGAGACTTGGTAAGAGAACTAATTCTTTTCAGACGGTATGTTTTCATGAAAAGTCTCATTTTTCTATTAAGTCCCCTAAGGCAGTCCTGCTTAAATTCTCTTTGGTAAAGGACCACTTTCAAAAAATTTTCCAGTGTGTTGCAAACTGATACTTGGTAAAACTTAATAAAAATGAATCACTAGAAAAGTGAAATAAAAAGACATGCAAGATAAAAACTGTAATTTTGTATTCCTAGTTCAACCAACAGGAAATTATATTGCAATAAATAGTACCAAAGTAAACGGAAAAAGGACTATGAAAATCATGTGTTGTTCATTGAAAGTATGCATGTAGGCAACTAATACCTAGGATCACTATTAGACTTGTAACTTTTTTCATTTTGAGGGAAAAAAATGAATCCCCGTGCTAAATGTCTATAGGTACACTATAAATGAACACAGAGCACAGAAATACTGTGGCACAGCTGGTAAAGAACCCTGCCAATGCAGGAGATGCCAGAGAGACCCGCTCCCTGGGTCGGGAAGATCCCCTGAAGGAGGAATGGCAACCCACCTCAGTATTCTTGCCTGGAAAATTCCATGGACAGAGGAGTCTGGCGGGCTGCAGTCCATGGGGTCGCAAAGAGTCGGAGACGACTGAGCGCACACACAATAGAAATTTTAATATGGCAAATTGCCTTGCTTTTTGCTTGATAATTTTTCTAACCTGGGTGCATTTGCCAGCAAGGCTACTTGTAGGGGATCAAGTACATCTAAACTATTTCTAAGTTTTATTTTCATAATAATAATATGATGGTGATAATAAGAATAGGAAAGAAACTAGTCTCACAGAATGAAACAGAAGAGGTTTTAGAGCAATTTCAGCAAGCTCAGTTTGTTCATTTTAAAGTTTTATCTAAAATGGAGAAAGTGCTACTACGTTTTCAGAGTTCTTTAAATCCTTCAACAGAAGCCAGTTCTAGCAGTATATCTTGTAAGTTATGGTTAAATTTAAGTTATCTTTTGATGAAAGAAATGGATTCTGGATCCATGGATTTTCTGGGCATAGATCTTCTTTTGATGGAAAATAAAATTCAAAATGCCTGATCAAATCTAAGGTGTTTTGTGATAGCCTTTCACAGATGTGCAGTACTGAGATCATCACTTGCATTGATCGTTGCTAAATTATGGAACGTGTGTCATAATGATCTATAGAAAGCTCCTAGCTTTCGTTTTTTGCCCTTTGATCTTATCAGCCATTGATAGACATGTTTCTTCTTTGCATGGAAGTACCAAGATCGTTAAAAACACTGAAGGTATTAGATATATAAGCAGTCCTGCTTGTCCAGTTCATATCTTCAACAGGCTAGGAACAAGCTGTCTTCTGATTTTACAGAAATGTACAGAGTTCTTCTGTAAATCGAACACTCTCAAACAATTGTCCTCTTGATCATCCTATACCTCAGCATGTAGCGACAGCTGTTCATGGTCTGCTTCCACAGGATCAAGTAACACACATAATTCGGAGTTTAACCCAGCAGCCTTTACCTAATCGTGATCTTTTAGGACAGCACTCAGCCATGGTTTATTTTCACCAACATTTCTTTTCATGGCAGGACTTTCTCATGAGAGAGATGATCTGTTGATTTACATTCTGGTGCAGCCTCTAAATCAGGGTGACGTCTTCAGGATGCTTTCTGCACCATCGGAACCTGCTCCTACACAAAATGTAAACTCCAGTCAACGTTTGTTGACAATCTAATCCTTCATCTATACAGTTCAGACTTTGTTGTTTGTCAGCGACAAAGCTGAAAAAAGAAATTCTTCCTTCATATCACCACCATGTTCAAACTGCACATAAAGAAGAATATGAGTGAAATGACCGTGCTTACCATGAAAACACGCTGCTGACTGTAATTGCTCCATGAGTTAGCCCTCTGCACCATTAGCTGGTTCCAGAATAGGCTGAGCTGTGGGGGTTCTGGAAGCAGCTCTTGCGCTACCCTCTGTGTTAGGGATTCGCACAACATTCCTAGCAAATACCTTTGAAGCCATCTTTCACCCATGTCTCACCAGCTGTATATGGATTTTAGTCTTGGCGAGCTGAAACGCTACTTACCAGGAAGCCTGTAAAGCTCCCCTGTTTATATGTGACACCCTGAGCATCTGCTTCAATCGGCTTTCGAATCCAATATCCTTTTGTTCAAAACATTTTCATGGTTTTGAACTGAACTTTTTTGGATGGCATTAAAGAAATATTTTTGTGTCACTGTGGATTCTACCACCTTATACACTGTGATGGTTCCACGGCATCATAGGCAGTATGTCTCTACAAATCACCAAGCATTATGCTTTCAGGACGTCAGCATCAGTGACAGCTATAAACTGAACTTGGGGTGTGAGTGATCGCAGTTCCGAAGAAAACAAATATGTACTCTTGTCTGCTTCTTCAAACTCACTCCCACCCGCACCTTTTGGTTTACACTCTTTCCACATTCAGAAATGACAAGGATTTTCTCACCAGAAACCAAGCAAACAAAAGAAACTCCAGGGAGGCCTGTTTTACCTTCTGTAAACTGAGGGTGGAAATGACCAGCATACATTTTATTTCCTTAGTCAACTAATAATGTGAAATAATAAAAATGAAATTTTTGATTAAACATGAAAACTCGTAAGGTATAAAAAGAAAGGCTTACATTTCCACAGATTTTTAGATCCGTAGAGAGTACAGCTGATAAATCAATCAGAAGTAATCACACACTGTAACATGGTCCTACCGCACAGGGTTATTTACTACATAACTCGAACCTCGTATGACTCACTATTTGAGCTTACTGGAACTGAGGTCGTCTCCACCCTGTTCAGTGAGACGAGTCTGCCATTGTGAACGTGGCATCATGACAATTCCAAACCGCGCTCGAAGCTTCTGACTTCCCAGGTGGCGCTGGTGGTAAAGAATCCGCCTGCCAGTGGAGGAGATGCCAGAGACATGGGTTCAGTCCCTGGGTGGGGAAGAACCCCTGGAGGAGGGAATGGCAACCCACCCCGGTATTCTTGCCTGGAGAATGAATCCCATGGACAGAGGCGCCTGGAGGGCTGCAGTCCGTGGGGACGCAGAGAGGGGTACGACTGAGCCTGCACACACAGGCTCAGCAGCACAGAAGCTTCTGGTGCCCGCGAGTGTCCACGCCCAAGTCATCATGGGCCAGCACCAATCTGCCGAGCACACGTAGAATAGCACGGTCAGGAGGCACCATGAATACNAGGGCTGCAGTCCGTGGGGACGCAGAGAGGGGTACGACTGAGCCTGCACACACAGGCTCAGCAGCACAGAAGCTTCTGGTGCCCGCGAGTGTCCACGCCCAAGTCGTCATGGGCCAGCACCAATCTGCCGAGCACACTTAGAATAGCATGGTCAGGAGGCACCATGAATACAGAACCAGTATTACTTGCTGGTTCAGGATAAGGAAAAGCAACCAAAGGCAAGGGAGGCCTCAAGGCAGACCCTTGGGTGACTTTCAGCTCGGGCCAGAGGATGCAGAGTGACGCCGCTTACCGAAGCAGGAGGGAGAGCTCTGTTTGTGTGAAGTTCGAAGGATGCAGAGTGATGCCGCTTACCGAAGCAGGAGGGAGAGATCTGTTTGTATGAAGTTCGAAGGATGCAGAGTGATGCCGCTTACTGAAGCAGGAGGCAGAGCTCTGTTTGTATGAAGTTCGGGGGGCCGTGAGGTGCCCAGGCAGAGACGGTAAGTGTAGGTGAGCCAGGGCCTTAGGGAGAGATCTGGTCTGCTGGGAATCACCAGCACTTGGATGTTGTATCTCGGCATAAGATCGTCTAAGGAGAACCTGTGGCCGGAGAAGCCAGTCAGGAGCGAGGCCTGAGCTCTCCGACATGCAGAGGTGGGCAGAGAGGGAAGTCGAGGCAGGACAGGCTCGGGATAGCGGCTCTGCCATGCGTGCTCGGGTCAGAGTCGTTTTCAGGGCTCTACAGGGCGCATGGGGGAGGAGAGAGCTGCACCTCCGATTCCCAGAGCTCCGACGCAGAGCACTGCTGTGGAAGCACGTAATAGACAAGCCCTGGGGGACCTCCCTGGGGGTCCAGCCCGCCCCCCACTGCAGGGCACGCAGGTCCGATCCCGGGTCAGGTAAGACCCCACACTGCCACAGGGCAACTAAGCCTGACGCAGAACAAGGGCCAGAGCATTCGTAAAAGAAACTAAGGAATAAAAAGATGATGGTGAATCACTTAAATAATAAATAGATAAGCATGGGATGACTGACTGAAAGGCACAACAGGCCTGAATATTCATGCATCTATTATCCTGGCACTGAGATCTGGGGGCACTTCAGTTTTATAAACTGCCCAGGGATGATCTGTTTGAGTAGCTTACTCCTTCAAACAAACAACAGTTCCTTTGATGAACAGAGCTCTTAAATGTTTGTGCACCATGAACCCTTGTGGCAGTTTGATAAAGACTCTAATTTTAAATGCATAAAATGAAGCCAATTATACTGAAATAGATATGAGTATTAAAAAAACAAATTAGCAAGAAGATATTATAGGTGCTTCTTTATTAACACATTAAAGAACAAGACCTAGTGCCAAGACAAATACCCAGTGGTGGGAGGAGGAAAGTGAGGATTCAGGGCAAGGAGGAGTCACTGTGATTCCAAAGCAGCGAAGAGGGTGAACGAGTTCAAGACAGCCACAACACCTAAATTATGATGCCAAAATCGGTGAGCCCTTGAGGGCGGGAGAAGTGGGTGACAGAGGATGAGATGGTTGGAGGGCGTCACCAACTCGATGGACGCGAGTTTGAGTAAACTCCGTGAGATGGTGAAAGAAGGAGCCTGGCGTGCTGCAATCTACGGGGGCCCAAAGAGTCGGCCACGACTGAGCGACTGAACAGCTACAAGCTGCTGGTGACAAAGTCCGAGATGCTGCTAAGATGACGGTGCTTGTTGGCCACGTTTCTAATTTTAAAAGATGCTAAATATCCATCAGAGATCTACGTTCATGGAACCCAGATGAAAAATCCTTGAATTGAAAGATTTTGTTCACTTGTACCCTCACCACTACATTCAAGTTAAGTTCTACTTTTAAAATGCATCTTTTTTTTAAAAAATAAGAAAAATCATATAGTGTACCAAATAGTGGGCTTCCCAAGTGGCTCAGTGGTTAAGAATCTGCCTGCTGTTTCAGAGATTCAGGAGACGGGGATTCAATCCCTGGGTCGGGAAGATCCTCTGGAGGAGGAAATGGCAACCCGCTCCAGTGTTCTTGCCTGGGAAGTCCCATGGACAGAGGACCCTGGCAGGCTGCAGTCCGCGGGGTCACAGAGTCGGACACGACTTTGACGCACATGCAGGTCGAGAAGAGACTTGAGGGCAAGACTACTGGGTAACGGCGAAAGTGTGGAGCCGAGTTGGTGCGGACGCAATGGACGTGGAGAAAAAGAAAGGAACCCGGGACGCCCCCGAGGGTTTGGGCATGAGCGACAGGAAGGATGGAGTTCCGCGAGGGTGCAGTTCTGTGAATTAAGATGGAAAATCTTAAGAGAAGCAGGTTTGAGGAGTTCTTGCCTGGGAAGTCCCGTGGACAGAGGAGCCTGGCGGGCTGCAGTCCGCGGGGTCACAGAGTCGGACACGACTTTGACACACATGCAGGTCGAGAAGAGACTTGAGGGCAAGACTACTGGGTAACAGCGCAAGTGTGGAGCCGAGTTGGTGCGGACGCAATGGACGTGGAGAAAAAGAAAGGAACCCGGGACGCCCCTGAGGGTTTGGGCATGAGCGACAGGAAGGATGGAGTTCCGCGAGGGTGCAGTTCTGTGAATTAAGATGGAAAATCTTAAGAGAAGCAGGTTTGAGGGAGAAGATCATGGGTCTGGTTTTGAAAGTGGGGCTTCTCTATCACACGTCGTTGTAGAGAGCTGGATACAGAAAAGTAGAAAAGCTAAAGCAATTTAAATGTCACAATAGGGGCTGATTAAGTTAACTATTATATGTTGATAACTGTTTATATTGATAAACAGCAGTTACAAAGAATGAGGTCTAATCATACTATTACTAAAATCTGTAACATATGCAGAATGGTACACAGCATTTTAATAACATTGTTCAGTTCAGTTCAGTCGCTCAGTCGTGTCCAACTCTTTGGGGTCGTATACATAATCTGTGCCTGTCCATCTGCACACGTACATGCTACTTTATATGCTCAGAAAAAAATCTGGATGAATACACACCAAGCAGCTAATAATATTTATCTGGGAAATGAAACTGGCAGAGGATAGGATGAAAGAAACATTTTACTTTATTTATTTCTATATTAGAACTTTTAAATGAAGAACAAGTATTATACACATTATAGAAAAACTAAAAAAAGTTTGAAAAGTTTTTCAAAAATGTTTTAAATGATGCTTGGTTCACATGTAAGCAAACACTCTCAAATCCAGGCACATTTCCTGATTGTTTTTTGTTTTTTAATTTTATTGAAGTACAATTGATTGAAAATATTGTGTGAATTTCTTCTGTATAGCAAAGTGACTCAGATATACATGTATATTCTATTTCATATTCTTTTCCATTATGGCTTGTCACAGGATACCGAATACAGTTCCCTGTGCTATATAATAGGACTTTGTTGCTTATCCATCCTATATATTACAGTTTGCCTCTCCTAATTTTGGAATTCTGCTAATTCCAAGTTCCCAACCCT